GCCCACCTGGGCACACAATGGCTCATGTTCAGCTGGCTGTTGACCAACAACCCCCTTTTCCCACTGGGCATCTTTCCAGCCACCCTTCCCCAAGCCTGTAGTCTGCAGGGGGTTGTTGTGACCCAGGTGCAGTTGACAGGCTGGCAGTCTCSTGGATGCTCCTTCCAGCCCTTCCTGTGGATGGGCATCACATTTGCTAACGTGCAGCTAACTGGGATCTCCTTGGTTCTCCAGGACTCCTGAGAAAGTGATGACGGCAAGTGACTTGGAGAGCACTTCTGCCAGCTCCCTTGGTACCCTTGTGTGGATCCCAAGTGGCCCCACAGGGTTTTGTGGGTAAGACTGAATTCTGTAAAGCACATGTTTCAGAGATTTAAAAATCTGAAATACCTGTCATGATGGTGCGATTATCAATTTTTTTAAGAACAAAGTTCTGCTGGTGAAAACATCAATTTTACATGTCACACTTTAAAATGCATAAGCAAAACTGCAGCAAGTTCCTCTAATTCTGAGCAAATGAAGAGCTGTCATTTTTCAAAGTGCAAAGGAAGAAGACATTTTTACAGAATCTTATCCAATAAGAATGCCATGTGATAATGAACAAAGGTCAACTGTTGAATAGCTTGCTGAGTTATTTTTTATTTCACAAGTCTAAACCCTCCTCCCACTTTTCAACTGCCTTGAAATTAAACTGCAAGTTTCAGGAACATCTAAATAGATTTCCTTATGTTTTCCTAAGAAATAGAATCTTATAATAAACAAACATACAGGAGGGCAAAAGGACATTTTGAGTAAGATTTTAACCAAAACATGTTTTCCCTATAAAAATATTATGATGTCCTTCAAATATATAAAACATAGTACAGGAAAACTGTGAAGAAGCCTGAAACCTCTGAAGATATGAATGCACTTTTATAAATACTACAAAAATATGTTTATGTTATTTTTCACAGTTATTATGTCAATATTTAAGCTCTCTGGCTCACATGCATCTGCACAAAAGTTCTTCACAATTTACACGCAACGGTGGCTTTTCACAAAAGCCAGACCCAGTAAGGGCAGAAAATTCTTCCCTAAATAAACAGCAAATACACACTAACTTCTGAAAAAATGGAATTCAGTCCTCTATATTTCAGTATTGCAGAGGCTATGAAGATAATAAACAGAAGAACATGCTGACTTTTCTCACAACCGTTCTCAAGAAAGTAGCACAGAAAGTACCTGACTCACATACGAGTGGATTCTGAGTTGTGAGAAAAGGTTGCAGAGAYTTCAAGACAAAGATGACAGGTCAAAACGTTCAAGTGGGGAAACTTGGGATGGAGGCTCCTCATTTCTGTTGTATTAAAAAAAAAACTTGGTTCTGCAACCAACCTAGAATGTACATAACAAGACAAAACACTCTGCCTGTGTAAAAGCCAGGCTCTCAGTTTCTCCTTGTTGTCTATTTAAATTATTTAAGACAGAGAAAATAACATTTAAAAGGTCAATTTTAAGATACAAATTAGTTCCTGGCATGACCAACACATCAGATCAGATGCTACAGGCACATTTGAAGGAAGTCATAATGAYATTTAAAGTCCTGAATAGTTTTATTACCACTGGGTAAGAGTTTGTTTCTGCTTCCAGTGATGTCAGTAAGAGCTCTCTGCCTGAGTAAGTGTGCATAGACACATTTTTTCATAGATCACTCAGGTACATGCATGTATCATGAGAAGATCCCATATAATCCATCTATGTCCAATGAAGAAAAATGACATTGTAAGTGTAAGTAGCTTTCAACTGTCTTCTACTTTCTTTTATTTCCAAGACTATTATTCAAGCTTGTATATTTAAATTTTTTTTTGTGATCTCTCCATTCTASGGCCAGATAGCACTTCACAAAGACAAATCAGCATACTCAATGAAATCTAAGTTTTCTAACTTCTGTAATTATTACCATACCAATTACTTGCAACTGCCYATAGAAGTTCAAAGTAACATTAACACGGAAAGCTGGATGTTTCTACTTGCTGCTTTAGCAATTGAAAAGAAAGGAAGAAAACTAAAGCTAGTTATACAACTCTTTCAAGATCTTTGTAAGGAGTACTGCTTCTGAAAGCAGGGTATTTTTATTTATAATAGTTATGGACAATTGGTATGGAGCATCCAAGTGCTTTTCAAAAGGARTATATATTATGGCAGTACTTAAAGGATACCAAGGCTACTTCTTCAATTACATGTGTATTAAATTATCAATTGCACAATGCTCTTTCTGCAACATAAACAAACACTACTTTTATTAAGACCAYGTTAAATCATCCATCTAAAATTCAAAACACCTTTCTGCCTGCGAAGAACATTTATTTGGCTGATGGACAGCACAAAAATATTATAATTTTGTAGAAACCTTCAATGAAAACTAGGAAAATGTCTAAAACAGGAACTCATTAACAAGCTTATTACTTGTGCCATGTGATAAACTAATCACCTAATAAGATTTACAAAAAGGATTAATGGATCCTCCAGTTGATGTATGGGTGATGTGCATTTATTCATACATGAAAGGAYAGGAATTTTTTAATGCTTTGAAAGCAGAACAAATTTAATCTTTAATGGCTTGTACAGCTATGAGAGTATACAAAACTTAGAGAATTCATCAAAATAGTGTATTTTTTGCAACCTCTTACAAAAGAAATACACAGATAAATCTACGTATTATATACTATAGATTAGTAGCAATATTCTTTAATTAGTARCTGAAAATTTTAAGCTTTAAAGTATCAGTTCAGACCATCATCCAAAATGTAGAAACAGCTTTATGATACTAGGCACTTAAATATCAATACAACACAGATACGGCCTGGAAGGAATATATTTGCTGCTTTAGCTTATAAAAATGCCCTTATAAAACTGTGTCCACAAAATGGTGCAACTGATTAAATTTCATTTGACAAACCCTTTTTGGAGCCATACATTCCTTTGTGTGAAAAAAGAAAAAGTCATTTGTATAGGTTTAATTAAGTAACAACAACTTGGCAGTCATACTCAAAAAGCATGCTGTGATGTAAATTTTCYGATAATTTTAAGTCATAACGTAAGTGTGATCAGTAAACAAAAGTTAATTTAACAGCACCATTTTTCTTTTATTACATGAGTACATGGTGAAGCTTAATGTAAATTTTGTAAATGTGTTCTTTGGTTTTCCTGTGTATGACATTAGTATAAAAAATAATAAAATCATCTCATATAACATTTTCTAGAGGCTTTCATATAGCTATTTGACTATATGACTACTTTTTCAGGAATACAAAATAATACTGGGAATTATGGCTATTTTACCGGAATGCAAAATAATACTAGGAATTATTATTAATTTAACTAATTCATAGTTATGATACAGACAATAAAAGATCTTTTTCTTCCTTCTCATATTTCAATGCAATGTATGAATAACACTACCTTTAACAGAAATTCCTTACAACGCATAATAATCATGTGCCACATTATTCATTGCACTTTTTGCTTTATAAAAGCACCCATATGATGGTGAATAGAGCTTCTAAAAACAACAAAGAAAAGTCACTAACAACTTGATGACTGTCATAGAAGGTGAGGAAGAACAACCAACTTGTCCACTATTGCTTTGAGATTCTACCCTAATACCAACAGAAGTGGTTACATATTGCTAAATGCACTCATTTTTTCTTTTTTCCTTCTGCCAAACTCCACATATTTACAAGTAAGAAAATTGCCCTTTAACAAAACTATTTGTTCTGATCATAATAACTGTGTGCCTCTATAATTTGCAGAGCGCAATAAGGTTTATAGTTTTGGATTCACTGATGAAAATGCCATCTTCACAAACAGAACAACATTCTTGTTTCAAATAAGTTCTATTGAAAAAATCTGCCTTATCTTTAACAGAAGCTGTATTTTTCTATCCAAAACACCATGTGGTCTCATTTTAAAATTATTTATTATCTATACRTACAGCACTTTCCACATTTTCTTTCAGTGAGAACTAAAACCACTTGTAATACAAACTTCATATATAGCCAGGAAAAGAAAATATCCTTCAAAATTAGTATTTAACAAATCAAAAGATGTGCACTTCAAGCATGATGTAAAAGGCTATTAACAGGTCCTCTCTTCTATTGAATTTCTAAGGTGAACTTGGGGATTYAGCTTAGGGAARTTTAAAATGTTGCTTCCAYTTCTTCATATTCTTTGTGTATTTCAGACACATTCTCTCATTATACATATCTTATATTATACATATACATATCTTAAAACTCCAGGTACCTTGAGAGAGATATGTCTTGTTCATAGTTGAGCTACCTGAATACGTATTTCTTGTGTAAATCTCCTGGCATGATTACACTGTTRGTTTGGGATGACCACAGGCACAGCTAAAGTGCTACACAATCTAATTCACACAAAATCTAGTTGGTCATCCATCTTTTTCTTCCTAAACATGTAGACAGGCTTACAAACTGTCAAGTCTACTAACTTTTTTAGGAATTAATCTGTGGTGGGGAGGAAGGCTGGAAATGATTTATTATGCAGCACCATGCACACCTGCAATACAATTAGTAGCATCACTTAAGATGCTCTATATAAGAAACTGTATTCTCCTAGGAGCAAAAGTGGAATACAGGAGTCCTATCKTTGCCTCTTGCTCATTAACAATTGGTTAAATCCCTGACTATGCAGTATTCCATAAGGCACAAGGCATCTGCTGCTCTAAAATCATTGGTTCAACAGCTTGTCTTAAGAGAAATAGGTCAAGTGAAACAATTGATGTTACTGTTTCTGTGCAAAAGAAGTTATTTTACTACATGCAGCAGCTAAAGAGTTAATAAAACAAATCTTCTTACAACCTGTCTCTTAGAATAAAACTACTACCTTAGGCCTTTAACAAAGCATCAATTCTGGGGAATTAAGTCTTGGACTCATAAGGCATTAGAAATAGAATAACTTCATTTTCTACTGCACATGTTCAGTGAATTTGTACTCACCCTCTGAGTGATGGGTTTTCCCTCTTTGACTTTTACTGCCAATCCAAGATCAGACAGTCTGCAATTCCCATTATCATCCAGGAGGACATTCTCTGGTTTCATATCCCGGTACAGAATTTGGATGGAATGGAGATGCAGAATCCCACAGGTGATCTGAGCTGAGTAAAAGATGATCCGTTTCATTTCCAAACCCCTTTCTCCCACATTGTAGATGTGATACTTCAGATCCCCTCCATTCATGAGGCTCATAACAAGACACAGATGGGTTTTGGTCTCATAGGCATAAGCTAGTGTGACAATGAAAGGGCTGTTGACCTTCTCCAGGATCTCTTTCTCCAGCAGTGCCATCTTCTCTCCACTTTTCTTTTTCAATCTTTTCTTATCCAGTTTCTTGCAGGCATACATCTTGCCAGTATTTTTCACCTGGATGGCACAAACCTGGAGAAGATAGGCATAGAAAGGTAATGAAGGAATTTGACAGAGACTGGAATGTCAATGGTAATAATATGCAGGAGCTGGGGAATCACTGATTGCAATAGATGCTTAGTAGCTAATTTCTATGAAGACTGTATTAGTAGAGAAAACAAGGCAAAACCAAGTTCTGTTCTGGATCAGTAGTATACTATGGCCTTGTTGCAAAKTTCTTGAGGATACCATTAATAGACATAGTATTAGCAAATAAAAGGAACAAGAACAAAATTCTGTAATCATGAGAATAAGCAGGATATACAGATTGGATTTGTACAGTTAAAYTCCCCTGACTACCAAAAAAACCTCCTTACTATAGTTTGGGAACAGATCCTGATGTGTGCTTTTCCCTAAATGGCAGCTAGGAATTATCTGGAGTGTGTGAGCTAGCACAGGCTAAAATGATGTCAAGGAGCAGACTAACAGTTAACTATGTGAACACTCATGCACGATTTTGTAAAGAAGTCTGCTTTTTTACTAGCATAGATACAGAACATAAATAGGTTAAAGTAGCTCTTTAGTAACAAGAGCCTCCATCACAGTATAAATAAGTGAGCCTAATTTCTGGAAAATGGGCAATCTGAAGRGTTATGTTTTATGCATCTTTATACAATTTCTTAATCCATTGCTCTTTGCAAACCCACCTGCTTATCTYGAAAGGGGAGGGATGACTCACACCCTTCAAAGTACAACTCTTACCTCTCCAAAGCCACCTTTGCCCAGCACTCGGAACTCAGAGAAGTATTTCTCAGTTACTGGTTGCTTCTCAAACACTTTCCATTGGACGAATTTGTCATAGAAGGGGCTGGTCTGGAAGTCCTGGAAGGGCTTCTCTTTAAGGAAGAGTTTGGTTTCATTCTTGGCCAGCTGCACGATGTTCTCATAGTCTTTTGCAGTAGCTGCCTGGCATTTGCTGACCAAGTCAGAGCTCATGAAAGACAGATAGCTTTTCCCACCTTGCTTAAGAAAATTGGTGAAAATACTCTCCATGGTACTGTTCTTGAGATTGTCTTCTGCCAAATCCCAGTTAGACACCTCATCAAGGAAGTCCCTAGCTACCAAATATTCTGGCACTGTCTCTAAGAAGTCTCTGAAGAATCTTTTGCCAATGGGCTGCTGTTCACAAATGTCATCATAATCAGCAACAATGGACTCTCTCTGCTCTTTGCACTGCTCAAGCTTGGGCAGTGAGAGGCTCCTACGTCTCTTTTGCATTTCCTTGGCGTCTGCATCTCCACTCTTCCTTGCCTGGAGGTAGGCAGTGTTGGCAATCAGGTTGTCGAGCCCCCCCATGTCACACATCTTGATAAAACCCTGGGGTGGCAGAGCCCAGTTCAGACAAAATGAGTAACTGGCCCAAGTAATGTGCGGTAGCTGCCCTGCACTTCTCCCTGCTAGCAGTGTGAAGGTTTCTGAAAAACACCAGAGAGACCAACTGCTTTTGCATTAAATACCTCTAAAGGATTTTCACTAAGTACCTTTAGGTATAGGCACCATTTGTGGAAAGTGACTGGTAAGAGGTTTCTCTGTAAGGAGCTTTGAGTTTGCTATGTATAGCTGCAGGATGACATCCTAGGCAAACCTTCCCACAGGCAGCACCAAACGCACGTGGGGCAGCTGGTGTTTTCAGAAGGGGCGCTGATAACCTCTAAATGTATCAAGATTCCCTCTACACACACCATCCCTGGCTGCTGGGAACATGCAGGGATTCTTTTCTGCAATACATACACTCTCCAATTCAGGGGCACTTTGGCCACAGTCAGTAGGGCATTCCTGCGTCTCCTCCAATGGACACAGAACACCAGCAGATTAATAACTGTGTACCTTGGGATCTGGTTTTATGAAAAGCTAATATCACAAATCTGCCATGCCTAAAACAACGTGACAATAGATGAACATGAATTGCTGAGCTTTAAACTACCACACAATTCAGTGCTTTGAACATTGACACTTTCAAAACTCAATTATACTCAGCATCAGTGACTGAGCCCCACAGACTGTTCATGCAAACCCCGCTGCCTTGCGTGGCTGTCTGAGCAGATTACACGCAGCGGCTAAGAACTGCCGCTGGTCTAAAAATAATGATCCCTATATATGAAACAACACAGCTCTGACTTCATCTCCTACCCAGAGAAAAAAGAGAAACACTTCAAATGACAAGCCAAATTTTGCCAAGACACTTCCATATGTTGTGTTGGCCTCAGTTTATTTTCCCTGCTGAGCTTTAYGGCAGAAAGTGGTGGGATGAGAAGGTGGCAACAGCATATAGCTGAGGTCACAACAACAAAGGGACAAAGCTGATTATAACCAAGTGAAGGCAAATTCCACCTGACTTCACTTGCTGGCTGCCTACCAGGAGGTGKTTTTTTTCCTTTCAAAGAACAAAAATTATGTGTGGCACTCACCAGGCTAAACCCCCTTCTGCTGTAGGGTCAGGTGATTTGGCTGTTACAACTTTACTTAAATATAAGGAAGGTATTATGAGAACAAGAAAAGAAGTAACACTGGGGTCAAGGTGTACTCTTGAGGTCAAGGTCAACTTCTTACTTATTTTTTCACAATCTAATAGCAAGCTGAAGAGCTGAATTGCAAAACCTAAACATCAAGAGTAGTAACAGGCACCTTTCAGACTCCCTACAGTAAGTATTAAGCCCTTCTTGGCTGCTTTTTGCCACTCGCAACCATGCAGTATTTTGTTCTTACATGCTTAATCCCATCCAGTTGAATCCCTTTGACATAAAACTCATGCTTGTACTGTACAAAATTCCCTTGGAGGTGTGTTTTTCTAGGTGTGATGCAGAGGGCCATCCAATGCCAACTGCTGCATGTGCACGAGAATGGGGAGAACTCCAAGGCAGAGACTTGAAAGCCTGGCCAGTTCTGCCAGGTGAGAGCAAGCACAGGGCGGGAGAAGGTTACGTAAAAGGCTCAACAGAGCAGCCAGCAGCATGGACAACACGGAAAACTGCTAAAGGAAGAAATGGGGAACTCTGCAGGTAGCTGTCCTGAAAACAGTGCCTACTGCAACAYAGTCTTCTAATACCCTAGTAGAGAAAGGCTTTAAAGGAGGTAATAAAGCTTTAATTTCAGCCTTTATTTTTATAAAGCTTTTCATTTCCTAAGGTTCAGTAGGGTCTTTTTTATATTTATCCAGAATGCCACCACAGCTCAAAGAGCAGAAGGAAAAATGGCTGGTAGTTGGGGTCCTAAAGCTGAACTCAAACCTATACCAGTTTTGGCAGTCATTTGCATGCCTAAGCAAATCAAGAAAATACCTAACGTTTACAGCACTGCATAAGACAGACACATTTACAGCTCCAAAGACCATTCTACTCTATTAATTAGAATCTTTCCAACTTTCTATGGAATATAAACTTTCTCTAAAGCATGTAACTTCATGAAAAGCAAAAGAAACAATATGATCATTCAACATCTACTCATCACTCCAGTCACTTTTGAGATCTGCTTGCTGACTTATCCAAATCTGCCCAGCACTGGAGAAAAGTAGATCAGCATTAACCTATCAGTTGATAATGRCTATTTAAGATAGTGTTACCTGCTCATAACACAGTATGTTTGGGTGAGAAACAAAACTGATTTATTTTGCTTGTACAAGAGGTGAACAATAACAGAACTGAAAACAGGGATGTACTAACAACCATGCTAATGACGTATCAGGATATGATTTGGAAAAGAAAAGTTCTCTGGTGCAAAGCTCACAGAAAGACTGGGAGATTTAGGCTAATCTCTAAATCACAGAGAAAATATGCAGCACTTAAAATTCATTAGCTTTTGTTCTAGCTGAACTTCAATTACTGGTCAAAAAGATACTTGTTGATAATATGCAACAAAGTAATATGCAAATAGATACACACAAATATCAGCTGCTTTGATTTCAACATTAACTTTCACAATACCTCATTTGTATCAACACCACTTCGAGTTGACACTTTGGAAAAATTCCTCCCAAACTTAATTCTCAGCTACTTCTGCCATGCATGCGACACAAGCTAAAAAGCAGGGTTTGGTACTTGCTATATTCACCTATAAACCAAAGAAAAATTAAGAAAGTCCTCTGATGGGACTGATGGCATTAACAGAGGTCACAGGATGAAGCMTGGGACCAAATCTGGGCAGAGAAAATAGGTGGTAGGTAAGATACGGTTTGACTGTGACAGCTAAAATTTATTTCCACATCCACTCAGATTTTTTTTTGCAAAAATTTTGGGAATACTTTTACACAAACAGAAATACTCCACAACAATGTAAATGCTATAGGCACTTCATTACTACTGTTAACATATTTTACATTTGTTTTCAGTTTTAAGACAGACATCATCTGGCATAGTAACAACTATTGTGATACAGTGTAACAGTGACTGACGATTTTTTTTAATCTCAGTATGAAATGATGCAAAAGCTACATTAAAAAAAATCAACACATCTTAAAAACAAGATTACAATATTAAACAAAACCCTAGAAAACTGCAATATGCTTGATGACACAAAGATTGGAACTATTTTATACAGTGAAGATAAACCCCTTTAAATGTACTTAGATAGAAATACATCTGCTGAGAAACACATTAAACATTAAAGATGGCAAATTTGAAGTAAACAATGCATATTATATTGCTTCAATTTCATCCACGTTGATTAAACACATTTTATTAAGCCATAATTTGTTAGAGATTTTAAGCAGTAATTCTATCTCTCCATTATATWTATTTTAAAAACCCCACAGAATACGTTCAGATTCAAAGTAATTACTCTGGGTATTTAGGGAAAAGACAAAGTTAGAGGCAAGCACTTAAATATCTCTAAGAAAAAAAATCAAAGATGATGATATATTGAGGATTTCCACAAAAATGAAACAATACTTCCAAAACATTATGACCAATAAAAAGAGAATGAAGAAATTTCTATTAACTGAATTTTCATGAAATCACAACTTACCATCTTCCCCTAGACTTAACCAGTGCTGCTTTCCTTGGGTTATTTAAATTAGCATTTTTGTTTGCTTCTTACATTAATCAGCTAACCAGCAAGATTGTCTACAGCTCTAGTTAAACACTAACAAATACATGTCTTTGTACCAGAAACCTTTGGATTAAAAATAGTGATCATGGCTCCCTGATCACTAACAGAAATACAAATTAAAAAGTTATTAATGTGATTACATTTAAATTTTATGGTTGTAAAAATCATGTACAGAATATAACAGAGCAACAGACTTAGAGAGACAACAAAACCAAGTCAAAGAAAACCAACATTAGAAATGTTTAATACAGGGTGATGGAAAAGCACATAGCAAATGTTTTACACACTGTTCATTTTAAACTAAAAACCCGAAATAGTTTCTAAAAAAACACACCGTGTTTTTGCATACAATATTACTTAGAAAACATTTTMTTTATCCTGACAGTAAACTATCCAGTGTATCAGACCAGATAAGGTCACCCTTCCAATTTAATTCATTTATCAATACAAAAAGATTAAATGCTCTGTGTTTAGAGTATAATTTGCACCACCAGGTTTCTATGCTCTGATACAGGTAACACGTTAATCATAGCAGATACATTTGTTGATGTAGCATCTCTTGTTTCAATGGTGGAAGCCCTGCAGTGAGCCTAGCCATGGACTGCATCTAGTACAGCAAGGAGCCTGCACCAAACCCACCCTGGTCTTGTGGCAGATAAACCAAGCRAATCATGTCCTGATTGACACGTTCCGTTCTGCATGAGCATATGGCATAACACACACACCATTCCAACAAGTTCAACAGAAAGAAACCCTTCCAGATTTTATTTGCCTATTCTCTGGACTACCCAGTCCTGCTGGCAGAGGGGACAGCGATTATTCTGYTTCACCCACAAGGACATGCAGCAATTGTGGAAGGAATGATTGCATTCTCCCCAAACCACTGAAAGAGAAGAAAGAACATATTCCAGTCACACTCAGCTGTTTAATCAATACCTACAGCAAGGCTCAAACTATCACYATCAAACATTTATAACCACTGGAAACTTTTGAGACAAAACAGGTCATCATTCATTCATCCACTGAGATTGGATTATTATTATCATCCTGATGATAGTTACATCATCAAGCCTTTTATTTATTTCCAATTATTAAAAGAAGAAATGCATATATTCTCACCTTCTTGTATGAAGCGACAGTGTTTTGTGACTGCATAAACACAATTGGTAGTTCTGCCCAGGAAATAAGTGCAACTATTTAAATTCTTCCCTTTGTCTCCTCCAGTACCAAAATAAAGYCAATGCACTACTGACTCACTATCACACGAGAGCATATGCCCATATTCTCATATGAAACGCAGCGTGTGAACTGAAAGGTGTGGCATCAAGGAGACACATGTAACACAGTCTTAAAATGGGACTTTAGACCTGAAGTTATTCACAGGCTACAGTTTTTCAACACTACAAGAAGTATTAATCTGTTATCCATTTGCTCCTAAATGTTTTAAAATGTAGTTACTTTGCTTTTTTTCCTTATTAGCTCATATTTTCACAGGAATACAAGCATACCAATCAAAGGAGTGCTGTAAATTATACTTTTTCCTCTCTCGCTTAAACAGGACACTTAGCACGCCAATTAAGATACTGAGAACAGGAAAACCCTATTCCCATTAAAACAATAATCAAAAATTCCTAGTGAATTAAGTTTGAGATAATATACTACAAAATACAAAGCACAAGAGCATGGAAAGGTTTACCACTAGCTTAAAAGGTTTTAAGCAAACTCTTTGAGATTGTTTTCCCTATTTCCAGTTTAAACAGTCAGACTTTCTTTTTGCATACATTGATACTGAAAGTATGATTACGTCTAAACTGGAGTGATTCCACTTTTCAAAATGGAAAGTGAACAAAAAAGCCAATGCCTCCATTATCTCTGAATTATGAGTGGGGGAATACCACTTTCTAACTCAGATACATTTATTTGAGAACAGATGAGTTTTATTTGTACTATCGTTGTGTTTTCTGGCATGCACCTCAGAAGAAAAAAGTAGCTTTTTCCTACCCACTTCAAAAACATACATTATGATCTCCTCAAATATGCTCACAGTGAAAGAAACTTAAACCTCTTAGCTGTGTTTGTGTTGACAGAAAACTGGAAGCTATTTTGTTTTACAGTACAACTGATGTGAAAACTAATTTTATCAGTACTCAAAAATAAAGCATAAAGTATTACTAATGTAAAAAGATGATACAGTGTAGAACGAAATACCAGTTTACTTCTGAACATTAATAAAATCAGTATTCCCTTCAAACTTTWAAATGCACCATACTGAGAGAAGCTTCAATTGAAAAACAAGCGAATGAAGTCACTACATACCAACACAATCTTCTTGTTTGTTTTCAGCTTGACATCTAAGACAGGCATCTAAAAGTAAACAAGAACAAGACTCAATTTGATTCTCAGGATTCCATCTTAAGAATAGGTTTGTCAGAGGAAAATATAAACTCTAAAACAAATTTACAGAGGTGAAAATCTCAAGTTTTGATGTCTAGTTCAGCCCTTTTAACATTAAATAGCCCACTTAAATTCTAAAATTACGCAAATTWCAATGAGATATAAATCTGAAAGAGATCAGAAGGACCATGAACTCTCCRGCATGTTTTGTTTATTTTCCATTGCTTTGGTATTTTCATAACTTTTGCTGAAAAAAAAGCCTTCTCCATTTTGTAGATACAAAAGCCCGCAGATTTGTGCCAAGGCACTCAGGCATATTAAGACCAGAGCAAGCACAAAGCCAAACCCTAATTACAGGACTTTGTTTTTCACATGTCAGCATCTCCTTTTAAGGAAGTCATTCACAATTTTGATTTTTTTAGGCTATGCATCTCTCACCACAACTCCCACCACCTATTACTTTTTACAGTAGCTTCCCTTAGCAAGTACCTGCATCTAATTTTCACAGGAGTCACATACACATACAAATATAGTGGTGCATTTGACAATATACATTAGTAAATACGGAACAATAACTAATTAAAATTATTTATCATCTTTATGCTTTCCAGTCCGTGGCTTTAGGATTGGATGGCAGGTCCAGGACTCAATAAGATACCAGAGTAGCAACTTCCAAGCTTCCCACTGTGCCACACAATACAGTGGAAAAATGCCTTTGCTTCTCCTTTGCCTCAACATGGGCTGCTACAGACACATGTGCACAAATCATGCACAAYAGACAGTGTTCAACGATTGTGTGAGCAAGCACATCTTCCTCTCCTCCAAAGAAGAGGATATAGTTTAAACAACTGTCCCGCAGGTTGCATCTGGCCTGCATGTCACTATTTGGAACATATTCCCCCACAAGACAAAAACATAATGTGCTGCAGGAATTTAGATTTGAGTACTTTACTGTCTCTGCCGGATAGGGCCACTAGTTGGATAGGGCCACTAGTTGCATTTTAGACTGATCTGCCCAGCCATTCCTCCTTTTCTCAGGTTATAGAGAACAAAGAGGAGAGAATTCTAAAACAGCTGCCCTTTCCTCATTGAGATAAAAGCAAGTTTCCTGTTGTCTGCTCCCATAATTCACATTTCAACAGCAGTTATGGGCCAAGGCGATGAGAAGATTCAGCCAAAGTGCTTCAGCTTGTATCATGGTCTGTGGAAGCCCACTGGTCTGGGGTCAGGGCAGGAGTCACAATAAATCAACTGTGCTACCAAGCCCTAGAGTCACCGTTTCAGACAGAGAAGCAGGACAGACAGCTAAGGACAGAAATCACTGCCACCATACCAAAGCAAGCTATGCCCACTCCTACATCACAACCCCAAGGGGTCGGTCTAAAAGGCCAAGGACAGCTAAGTCAGTAGAGCTGAAATCCTAACCTTCCCAGTTAACATCTGCATTTTTGCACCTTTCCGGTGTGCATCTGAGACCACACTGGTTCAAGGAGTTAAACCAGTAGAAARCAGAACCAGCTAACACCTCCTTCCCTTGCAATAGTCAAACAAACTGACTTTCAACAAATGCCAGTCTAAGTCTGGCACTGCCTCCCACCTAAGGTTACTGCAGACGCAGTGGCTCTACAGGAGCCAGACCCGCTCTGGCAGGGTCAACGTGAAATTGCTAAACTGAAGTCAGTAATGATCAAGTTTCACATTCTAACAATGTGGTTTGTTCTCAAAAAATGGTTACCAGATTTTTCTGATAGTTTCAGATTAAAAGTACTSCCTTGGTGTAGTTATGAAAACATATGACTTTTTTTGTTTAACTTTCATAATAGCTCTGGGTAAGATTTTGTTAATTTAAGATTTTTATAGCGTCCTGTAACAGGCTAGCTACAGTGGGGATAAATACACGAAAAATATTATGCCTTGCATGGTAAATGAAGCCAATTSAATATTTTCAGAGTGGTCACTCTACTACAAAAAAGCAAATAATCTTCAAAACATGATTATGTATAAGATCAATCTCCTGCCACTTCAGTCTGTGTTGCATCTTTTTTCCTCTAGTACACTTCTAGTTCCACAAAAGGTTCTCAGTAAAAACATGTATGAGAAATGACAGCAGTGCATATTTTGTCTCATTTCTGTYAAACCAAATACTGACTTCATTTTCAGTATCATGGTTCCTGGATTTACAAAAGCAAGGTGCTCTGGAGGCAACCTTGGCTCATTTGTCCTGCCAAATTGTTCCAAGCCCAACTGAGAGAACAGTTATATCTAGGATGACTCAGCCTAATTAAAAACTGGATATGCAGACACGGCAGGAAAACAATTTAAACAGTTTTTGAGAATCAAGATAAATACAGTATTTTCAAAATATGTCAGAAAACAATAATATCTGTCAACGATTAAGGTGCTTTCAAACAGTCTCTACATTTCAAAATCAGGTAAATCAACTCCTCACTCAATGGATTTCTCAGTATATTCACGTGTATTAAACTGCACGAGTAATCAGAAGGTTTATGGTGTCTGGATTACCAGATTTGAAAAATGAATTTATATGTACATCCGTAATTGCTTCTTAAAACAAAACCCCGAACAAAAATCCCTCAACAAAACCACCCCACAATCAGCAGTCCCACACACGCAGCACTCAGTTCAGCTCGGCTCTAAGTCAGCGCTTGTGGGGTTTGTCCGCAGACAAGCACCAGTCCCCAGGACGAGGACGGCACTGCACGGGACGGGGACGGTCCCCGAGCAGCCCAGCGGGGCCCGGGCCCTGCGTGCGGTGGGGGCGGCACAGGGAGCGCGGCCCGGCCGGGCAGGGGGCACTCGCTGTCCCCACAGCGCCGCGCGGCCTCCGGGGCTGCGTGTGGCCCCTCAAGAGAGCCGGCCCGGCCCCCGCGGGGCCCTCCTCCTTCGCCTCCTCCTCCTCCGGGAAAGGCGCGGAGGAGGAAGCGGAGGCGGGAGGGATCAGCCCCCACTTCTGCCGGAAACCGCGTCTCTGCCCGGCGCCCGCCGTGCCCAGGGCTGCGGGCACGGGCACGGCCCCAGGCCCGGCCCAAGGCCCCCCTCCCCGCGGCCATGGCGGCCCGGCCGGCGCTTACCCATGACCTGCACCCGGCAAATGGCGCAAGTGTCGCACTCCACGTCCCAGCTCCACATGGCCACCGCGTTCCACTTCTTCARCGAGAACATCTTGTCGGGGGCGCCAGCCCTGGAGCCCGCGGAGCCCGGCAGCGAGTGGGGGGCGCCGGGCTCGTCCCCGTCCTCCACATCGGCCATGGCGGAGGGGCGGGGACGCGGCGGGCGCGCAGGGCGGCAGCGCCACCCTCTGGTGACAGCGGGGGGCTCCGCCCGCGGCGCGGGGAGCGGGCCGGGCGCAGCCCCCGGCAAAGGAGGCCTTGCTGCGACACTGAACACATTCACAGAGGTTTAAAGCACTTTTTATGTTTTAGCAGGACAGCAAGCAGGTGCCAAGCTGACACTGCTCACGAAGGATGTTCTCATACATACATACATACATACATAATATGAGCAGTTGTAGTGCAAGCGAATCACAACTTCACCAATGGGCTGGAATGCCTTAAATACGCAGAGACAACCAAATCTTCCAACTCTCAACACGATTCCTAAGACTGCTGACAGAGTAAGCCACACACTTCAGCAGGGGTGTGCACCTTGGCCAGAAAAACCAGGCCTTCGGTAATATATTAAAAAATAAAAATTACACCGATCTCAAACATTTTATGTTTCTTTATGACTCAACTATCAATTCAGAAGCATCTATAATTTCCTTGAATACTATTAAACAACATGTGAATAAGGTCTTACCTTGGCTGGTTCACGGATCGTTTCCATTTGTCAACTCTGCTCTTATAACTCATCACTCTTTTCTGTTCATTTTTTTAAACCATCATGGCTCTGCAGAAATTTGARTAACTGGCACCAGGTGTAATTGAGAATTTTTTAAAACTGCTTTTTGTAAAAATTTGAGAAGAAAATGCGGACACTTCTCCTTTGATAATGCATTTAATTTTTATGCCTTATGCATGGATATTTAAAATTTGAATGTGTCTGTTCCTAAAGTAAAAAAAAAACCTGAGATATAAGTACATTTAATTTCTGCTTTGTAAAATGTCAACTGCCTCCAAGTAGATTTTTTCTTTAAAATCTTGTTTTTTAAAATCTGAAATTTTAGTGTGGGTTTTTCTTTTTTTTTAATTTAGACCCTTTGCCTTGTATCTCTAACCAATGCAATTCTTGTCTTCAGTTCTAAGAGTTAACTATGACAGAGATTATGTTTGGGTGCTGTCAAACTGTCACACACGTGCTGTACACAATGCAAATTCAAATATAAACCCCATTATAGTGAAAGYAGAGCAAATATGATACAGGCACCTTTGACTCTGTCCATGCTGCTATACAGAAATAAAATTATAGCTCCCAACGAATCATTATTTTCTTGCTATTTTATCACCTACAGAGTGTATAAGAAAAATTTCAAGCCATTTTTGAGAAACAGTTCTGGTAGTCTAGAATTCATCTGTCCCCTGCAGCCACACATGACATTAAGSAGGTCACACGTGGGAGAGACACAAAACAAGACAGCTCTTTCAGGGAGTTTTCCCCATGTACTTTGTCACTATTTTTAACTATAAATTTAAAAAAAAACAATCAGATTGGGCATCTGTTCATCTCTTTCACTGAAAATGTTCCAAACTGAATATCTAAATATGAGAACTCGAAGCAAGTTCCTTTCAGCCCTCAAGTGATTGTTCAGCTAGAATTAAAGCCAATTGTGTACTACAGAATGGGGAAAAACCAACTTGTCAGCTGTGAATGGAGATATTCATAATAGTAAGTATCCAAATTTGAAATACTACTTTATATTACACAATCTATAATCAATTTTCTGTAATAATTTTATAGTAAGGACRCAGTGTAATTCATCAGTTCTGATTGTCTCCATGTAAAAAATATTCCTTCAAAGCTCCAAGCATTTGCCACCCAGCTTAGATTACTRCCCTAGGGGATCACGCTTACTCCCATTACAAATTAATATACAGATGCATCCTTGCCTTGTAAGAACATTTTCATTTTTGATACACCTTTCTATATCTGAATATTGCAGAAACAGTAGTCTGAAAGGATATATAACACCTTTCATAGATTTTCATTAATCCTTTGACAATGGAGAAGTCTGGAAATAGGGAAAAAACCCAACGAAGTTAGGCTTTCTTCTTTCCTCTTACAACTTTTTGAGATTTTTGTTGTTTTTCTTTTTCCAGTTTGTTTACTCCAAAACATAGAATTGAAAATTATTTTTATTAAAAACAAAGCTCTTACTAAAATGTCAGTTTTATGATAATGCAAAGAACAGTTATGTAAGTATGTATTTATCTTGGCCAACTGATGTATGTGCTGGACTGTATTATTCCACTTACTGTTTGTTCTGTCAATAGATTAACATATATCAAAACACTCCAGGACTGTGTCCATTTATCTGCCAAAGAAAATAATTTAAGCATAGTTCTCTGCCAAAACTATTTCTTAAACTCTAGGTGATCTATGTCTCTCTGTGCCTCTTTCCCAAYAGGACAATTAAGGGCCAGATTAGAGCAGAGGCTCGGTGAGGGCAGTGGGGATACAAGAGAGGAAGAGAGCACAGGAACAATTCTGTATCAGCACACCATCACCTGTGACAAACACACCTCTAGKAAATCTTTAAAGGTTTACTGAAGCTGCCAGATGCAGCTGCCAAAATGGGAAACGGGCTCCAATGTTGATATGAACAGTTTCTGTGAAATAKAAGCATGTAGTGGGCAGGCAGAAATTTAAAGGAAATCACAACAGGAATTAGGGAAACAATGTATTTGTGGAATAAACTGTATGCTTTTACACTGGGAAGATGTCACTGGAAGGGAGTCTGGAGGGAAGAAATCCCAGAAATACACTACTGCACAGAGTAGCAAAAGGAGTTAAAGTACATCCCCACCTCTCCAGAATCCATTCCTATATGTGATCTGGCATGAACTTCACAAAAATCCAGAAATGAGCACACAGAGAAGTACCAGTAATTCAGATTTTTAAATGCTTTGTGCTTTACTCTGAAAGTGAAACAAATGAACATTCATGACACGTAACATATAGAAAGGAAATCCTTACAGAAATTGTTTAAAAAAAATTCTTAAGGATTCTGCACAGGAACCTCTCTGCTTTAATGGAAAAACCCTGTGGCACAAGAGACTAAAGAGATCCTGACTTTGCTGAGCTGCTTTAATCAAGTCTAAACCCTGGGATCTTCTCCATTCTTCATACAACAGCCTGGCTCATCCATCCCTCCTTCTGCAGCAGAGATTAAAAGCCAAAGACACAAAGACCCCTGACTGTTGTATGAAATTGTATACTGTGTTTTCATTTGCTAATTGATTTACTCTGAGTAAAACTCAGCTATTACTCTTGCCTCTGAACAGTGCTGATTTTCAGGTTTGATATCTTTCATATTCCATTTTTTAATTTAGAAAACCTGAGAAGATAAAATTTTGCCTATTTTAACYGCAGCCTGAGACTACGCGAAGCCTCAATGCACAAATACTTGTACAGCCTACACTCTGCTTTATACTCTGGGGTGCATCAGTTCATGGCTTGAGATACCGAAAATTACTAAATAACAAAGCATTTTGTCTGCCTCTGGCACCTTTTAAATAAATTTTAATTACAGAGGCTACAGGGAAATACTCCTTCCTCTTGGACTTTTCAAGTCTGCATTGCTATACAAAGCATAGTGGCTTCCCATCCCCCAGCACAGAAAGAAGAGACGGAACTGTAGACGCTTCCCCTTCTTTCATTAAATACTTGAAAGATCTATGGATGAAAGATGCAACGAATTGCCAGGTCTGAGCATTACTGTAAATCACTTGATTCTTAAAGGGGAGMTTCCTTCTTACTAATTTTGTCTCTGATCCCTGCTTTTGCCATGGGATGAAGGCTTGTTTCAGTCTCCCATAGCAACAGTGTCACAGGGAGCAGAGGAGCTCAGGCTGAGCTCAACCCCAGCAGCTCCAGCCTGAGCTCTCGGGCAGTGCTGGAGTGGTGCCTGTGCTGCTCCAGGAGGGAAGGGGGATCTGCCTGCCTTTGGAGCCTTCTGCTGTTCAACATACACACATCAGCTTCTCTCCCTGCTCCCTGGCACACTGGAGTTTGCCACTGAAACTGGAGTACAGCAAAGGATATCCTGGATCTTTTGAGAAATCAGAGGGAACAGGTAAGAGATTTTTACCTGTAAGTCTTGGCACACATTAGATTTACTTTGGCTGTTTTATGATCCTCTCAGCRTTTTTTTCCCTGTGTATGAAGAATGACCAAAAAGAAATTATTAAAGTGGGGAACGAAACCACAACCCCTTATAGCAAACTAAATTGTTTGATTGGACTCAAAAAGCCATATAATTAAAGTTTCTAAAATCAGTACAATGATTTACATCTTTTTTTTTTGGTGAAATTGTTAACTAGACTTCATACAACTGCAAGAGCATTTGAAATCATAATTATGCTAAAAATAGTGATGAACATCTAGAAATCTGGATCATACAATTCTGTGGAAAACTGTGTTAAGCAATGTTTATACATGGATGAATTTTGTTATTTTCCATAAACATTTATAACCATAAGGAATATTTTAAAAACACTTCAGCAACGTAATCTATTTGCTTTTATATTAAAAAAATACCCAAAATATTCTTATTAAAAATACTTAACTAAAATTCTTGATTTCTGTACCTAACTAAACTCTTACAAAGCATATGCATTTCCAGGACACTGTAGCCACTGGGTCTTTTTAAATGTTATTCTGATTGTAAAGCAAACAATTATTAACTTAGAGAAGGCAGCATATCAGCAGAGAAAAGACCACTCTGCTATAATCATTACCAAACACGTAAAATTTTTTTTTTTAAACTTTCACAGGAAAAATTATTCCTCCTGTACTTTGTTTCRTATTTGTATTCCTCTGCTTTCTAATCTCTGCACAAATGAATGTAGTGACCATTCACACTGGGCCTTAATACATCTTACCTCARACTAATCAAAATTAATTCCAAATTGGCTGGAAGGTTTGCACTCTAACTCCTGACAGAAGCTTCCCTGCCAGCAACAAAGAACAACAGGTCGGTTCTCTGCACAAGGAAACAAAACACCTCTGGACATTAAAATGTGCTTGTACAAGCCTTATAAAAGTGCTCATAAGAGCCTTATAAAGAGCCTTATAAGAGCCTTATAAAAAGTGCTCATAAGCACAGGAGGAGAGAGTAGGTGGAAAAA